GTGATTTGAATTGATAATTGTTGTTTTCTATAAAAAAAATAAAAGTAAGTTTTTGTGGGATAAATCATTAACGTGTATTTTGTTATAATCTTAATTTATTTATTGACATATCAAGGTTATTAACAAGGACAGTTTAGTAAAATTAGTTAAGAATAAGTGTAGTTTTCAAAAAAAATAAAACAAGATGTAGTTTTCAAAATTTAAACTCCTGTAAAAGTATTTTTAAAAATTTCCTCTTTTATTATTATACTAGTGTTGTGCCCTCTGCACGTTGCAGAGAAATTTAATTTTTTCAAATAGATCAAAAAGAAATATGTGCTTTGTTGAAATCGAAAACTATCATGGAAATCTATTTAACTTACAAATAGTCAAATAGAAATGAAAGAGAGGTATATTAGTGGTGATCGTGGGAGAGGAGAAGCAATTAAAAGAAAAAGTTGAGGAATCTGATTTCATTATTTGTTTATGTGGATTTGGAAATAAAAAAAAATCTCTCGTTACCCAAAATTATCCAAAAAATCGGAATAGCAAATTTTGAGAGTTTTGCCAGGTGGCATATAAAAAAAGTTGCAGTTAATCGAAAACTTACTTGTGAATTATTATAATAGGATATTGAGGAGATAAATTTGTATGTTCCCGGATTCTACCGCCTTACCATATCTGGTGATCTTTTTTTTCATCCATTATTTACTTTTTTTTTATTTGCATTACTTTTATTGGCTCGAAAATAACTATTAAATTGAATGGGAATTTTTTTTTTCTCAAAAATCACATATATTTTCTATCTACTCCCTTCGTTTCATAATATAAATTGTTTTAAAAATTTTTATTTGTTTTAAAATGTAAGTTATTTTGATAATCCTAGTTATTTTTTACTTTTATTGAACATTATATGACCACTAATATTTTGCAATCTTTTGTATGATTGATTAAATTATTTATATTAAATATATCAAATGATACTTTTTCGCAAAAAAATAGTTTTTTAATATTCGTGCTTTGAATTAAAACAACTTATATTATGAAACAGAGGGAGTATATGCTAATATTTGTTAACAATTAAATCTAAACTTAGCCTATTATAATTTTAGGTTTTACCAATTTTGAAAATATTTTATTTAAAAGTATACAGTAACTTTTATATGTTTTTTTTTGTTTTTTTGGCTAAAAAAATAACGTTTATATGTTACACACATTTTAATTTCTCTATCTGTTTTTAAATGATGAGTAACCAACTTTTTCATTTTTCATTATAGATTGTAGTTGCAAATTACCCAAATTTATTTCAGTAAAAATTACTTCCGCCTCGGATTACACGCACAATGCTCGTGAGTCTCTGCATTTTATATATGAGACATTTTTTTATAGTATTTGTTATTCAAAAAGTACTAGTATTCTCTTAGTATATTTTATACAAAGACAATATCATTTTCTTCATCTGATACGACAAAATAAAATAAAACCTACTTTAGTAAACAAGTGGAGATCGTGTTGTCGACAAGCTAAGGCAAGTGGCGCAAGTGGGACGACACGCGACAGCACCACTATACAAGTATACTACAGTATGCACCATTTGATTATTCACCATCTGAATTGTGATTGATCAACAGAAAATTTGATTATATTTTGGAGTATTACTTACCGACTATTCACCATTTGATTATTATGTAGAGGAGATAAATTTGT